AGAGTCAGCAACCAACAATCATGCTATGGCGCAATATTTTATTGGAAATTGCTATGAAGAAGGAAAAGGAGTACAAAAAGATCATATAAAAGCATTTCAGTGGTATATCAAATCAGCAGAGGGTGGTTATGCTATTGGACAATGTAATCTTGGTTCTTGTTATCGAAATGGAATCGGAACACAAAATGATGAGAAAAAAGCATTTGAGTGGTATTTGAAATCAGCGGAGGGTGGTAATGCTAATGGACAATGTAATCTTGGTTTTTGTTATCAAAATGGAATCGGAACACAAAAAGATGAGAAAAAAACATTTGAGTGGTATTTGAAATCAGCGGAGGATGGAAATGCTTTTGGACAATTTAATCTTGGTTGGTGTTATCAAAATGGAATCGGAACACAAAAAGATGAGAAAAAAGCATACGAGTGGCATTTGAAAAAGCATTCGAGTGAAATGCTTTAGTATAATAACATTTTGTTATCATTTCGATATTGGAACTTTAAAAGGTAACAGTATAAGAAAAACTAAAAATTGCATCGAAAAATGTAATTTTTCTCTTATCACCACATTCTCTAATATGATCATTTAAATATTTTTAATTTAGTAATATAAATATGCAATTTATATCAAATGACATAAAAAAGAATTAAGATAACCATTTCAACTTTAATAAGCACTGTTTAAATAGGTGTCCTCGATTTTTCTTATCTTTCAATATCATAGAATACACATTTAATTTCTACATTTATGTATTTTATCATCTTTTAACTTTTAAATTTTGCCTTTGTTTTTTACTTGATTTAGAATAAATTATGTTTAATATTTCTGCATTTAGTCGAAGTTATAAATACATATTCTTTTCCTTTAATATAGTATTTAAAAAACGCAAGTTATAATTCATAAGGTTAAATAAAACAGATATTTTAACTTATGACAACAATCGGCTAGTATTTCTACACAGAAATTTAATAATTGCATATCATTATGATGTTTAAATTCAATTTCTGCCATTATTGATTGATGTTCTTACCGCGATTACATTGACCATCAAATTTATGGTTTAATTCATTTTCAAGTGTATTAGGAAAAGATGAGAATGAAAATTGCAATGAAGATAAACTTCCTCCTAAGCTAACAATTGAATATTGCAACTTAATCAGTCTTCTTTAATTACAAAAGGCACTTCTTGAGATTTTTAATTCCTATAGTATCTACATTTTTTATCTTAATGATGAAATCATTATCTTGTTTTGTAGATTGCAGTTGATAAGTTTTTAAAATACAATATAGAAACAATTTGTTACAAAACTTTAATTAACTTATTTTATTTCTTAATAATTTAACAGAATTCACAATCACGCAAAAAGTATTAAGCAAAAAGCTATGATATAAAAATGACATTATTTTCGTGAAAGCAAGGAAATTTCAAATATTGTAATTTTATTGGTGAATCAATAACAACTTCAACAATTTACTTAAAGAGAAAGATTTAAATAGGTGCCGAACTACAATCGTATTATGACTTACAGTAGCCGTCATAAGTATCCGACCGCCCGTAATTTTTCATAGATCATATGTAATGTACCAAAATTTTTCACGTGTAAGAACTACGTATAAATATTGATAATTTATGCCTTTTATGGGCCATATCAGATGTTATACTGCAAAAATTCAACCAATCACATAATTTTATATAAGCATTCTGAATCTGGGTAATATTCTTACCCGGGTGTTCTAGGTCGCATTTTTTGAACGGGTCCAATAAAAACATATATTCTAATACTATAATAATATGTTGGCTATTAGACAGTTATATGTTTTTTTAATGGGTCTATAGTTACAACTAACAAATAAGAAACTTTTGCTATATAGTTTCAAAATTATATCATTTGTTTGCAAGTTACAGAATTAAATTTTCTTCATTATGATAAAATCTTTTCAAAAATCTTATATAATACTGTACGTACTGTACATGTATTCATATCAATGTTATGGTAAAACGTACAGTACAAGTTCCTAAAGAAGTGATGTAAAGTGAAAAAATCCATGCATACAACATACACATGTATGACAAAACGCAACAAAATATACTATACAGATATTGATATTTAATAATATTATTAACAAGTGACGACTATACTGTATATAAAAAATATGCATCCTGGATAGGACTACTGACATATACATGTACAGTCAACCCTCTCTATTGTCAACATGACGGGACCAGGCATTTTCGTTTATATATAAGAGGGTTGATAACTCAGAGGTTAGAGTTAATATCGATATATTAGTCCAAGTGAAATTTGTTCTGCAATAAATGTTGATAATTAAGAGGTATTGATATTAAAGAGAGATGGTTGACTGTATTAGCTAATATTATTTTGATAGAGGTGCCTTCCCCCCCCCCCCAACCCCAAATAAGATCTTCTAGCCCAATCCAAATGCTTAATTAAGAATAATTTCGTTAACGTTAACGTTAATCTCCCAATTTTGGTAAAAGCCCGATTTCGGTAGTTTATTTTTATTCGCTTCAAAATTCTATTTTGATTTCGCTTTTGATCTCGCTTTTGTTTTCTATTTTTTTCAATCCTAAATTCTCTTAAATGATAGAGTGCATTATGCAACAAGTTCTGAAACAATACTTCATAATGTAGACAAAAAGATGTATATATAGTCCTCGTGGATGTTAATAAAAAGGCAGAATTAAATTGCGTACAATTCTTCTCCAAGTAAATTAGACTTGTAAAATTGTTGTAATTGATTGTGGTTAGGTCCTTTGATCCAGAAAAGGCGTTGATATTTTTAAACAACATATTGATTGATTGGTTGAAAAAGCGCTTTGTGATTGAACAGTTTAAGGCTTTTAGCTAGAAAAAACAACGATTGGAAGTTAATAAGAAAAATATTATCAATAAATCGCCACATAAAACATAAACCCAAAACCATCTCACCTAAAATCCAACCCATCCAAACTCCCCTCTCTACCGACATACTGAACGATATCGGCACAGGAATTAGAAACGAACAAATACCACCTCAGTCTAATCACTCCCCCAACCCACTGTTGCGGGTAAAATCGTCAATTACGATCTACCCGTGACACTACCTCACCCTAAAATATTAGCTAATAAATGTCACTGCCAAAAGAAAACATTGTCGTGAGAAGTGCGTATAAACCAATAAAAATGCATAAATTTTTGGCATACACAAGAAATGTAAAAAATACGGGAAACAGATCTCGTAATCTAGCTTTGTACACTAATAAAAAATGTCGTGAGGAAATTTTGCATATAAACTTGATCTCAGCTCTAACCTTAACCTTAATCCTAACCTTTAAATTAATCTTTAAAAATAATCTCTATTATCTTAGAATTTTTCCGGACATACAATATTACATATCAATATTGTATGTCAAAATCACACGAAATTTCCCATAACAAAGATAATGTTGTCTTTAATTACCCAGGATGCGTACTTTACAATAGCATCAAAACATTGAGTCTATGCACTCTAGGGTTACTTTATATACAGTATAGTCGTTACTTTTGTTATAATGTAGTTATTAAATCATATATTTTGATGCGTATATGTATAGTTGCGTTTTCTAATACTCATTAGTACAGAATACAAATGCGTATTGTCATATATGAGTACTTATGTTGTCAGCATTGATTTTCACCTTACGTCACTTTTTAAGAACTGTATACGCATATACGCATCAATATATATATATATAATAAAATAATAACAGAACAAGTAACGACTACATATATATATAAATGACCCTAATTGTGTAAAAGAGTGCATAGGCTCAATGTTTTGATACTATGTGTAAAGTATGCATCCTGGATAATTAAAGAAACATTATCTATGTCATGGGAAGTTTCGTGTGATTGTTACATACAATATTTGTAATATTGTATGTCCGGAAAAATTCTAAGGTATATACATGTAATAACGATAGAGATTATTGTTAAATGTGAATTTAAAGCTTAGTATTAGATTAGGTTAGAGCTGAGATCGAGATTAGATGCAAACTTGCCTTCCCGACATTTTTATTACGTAGTGTACAAAGCTAGATTTCGAAATCTGTTTCCCGTATTTTTTACATTTTTTGTGTATCGGTATGCCAAAAATTGATGCATTTTTATTGGTTTATACGTATACGTATACATGTATTATTGCGATCGAAACTTTCCACAAGGTAATGTTTTCTTTAAGCACTCCATGATTTGTCTTCTTCCTGACATTCTCCAAACTCAAAGCTCATCATAGTTAGAAATTGAAAACAATCGAATACATTTCTGGATTGTTATTACAAATAAATAAATATCAGTTTAAAAGTGTACACGCTAAAAATATCTTAGTTTGATTACAATATAGATAAATAGGCCTCTTTCGAATTTTTCTAAAAATTACATTAGTTTGTTTGATTACAGTCAAACCTCAATATAACGAAACCTGGATATAACGAATCCTTGATATAACGAAAGAAAAAAGACCTTTTGTTTTAAAATTACCTCTATATAACGAAGTTTCATAAGGAAACTCGATATAACGAAATTTCCAGCTCAAGAGGTTCGTTATATCGAGGTTTGACTGTATTTTGATTAACGCCTAAGCGGTAGACTTTTTAATAATGCTAAAAAATATTCTTACGTGTTCAGACTTTATTCTCAATTTTACCAAGATAAACAGACTTTGTTTTGGTTTTTAAAGCATCGGAATACTGACTCTCGTATTTGACGGAATTTCTCTCAGTGTGAGAGAATGGCTCGACAAAACACCATATATCTTCGTAATTACTTGCGCAATTGTTGATACCTTAGAATTTATTGATACAAGATCAGAATTAAAAATCAATAGTAATTTTACTTTCTGCTATTTATTCGTGATTTAATTATACATGTATATAATAATTTCGATTTATTTAACGTTAATCCAAATATTTATTCAGGGCTCTTCTTCAAGATTGTAAATTTGCATACTCGAAAGGCCAGTAGATTGCAAATTAACGACCTGGTTTCCTTGTAGATTATGTGTCCCTTGAGGCGAGTACATTACCTGACCAGGAGGTGTTAGTAACTGGTTTACGTAAACCGGTTGCGGGTTGGTGGAAAATGTCGCACCTGAACTTTTAGTTTGTGCCAAGTCAGAACTAGCGTCTGGTTGCTGAGAATATAGTGGCAAAGGAAATTGTTGCAGCATAGATGTCCTGCCACTTAATGGTTGATTTGCGTTATTCGCATTTCTCACCAAGTTTTCAAGGTCTCCAGCATTTACAACATAATCTTTTAAAAAGAGCTCGAGTGCATTAAATCTTTGTTCGAAACGCGACTTAAAATCATCATCGGATTCAGGATTATTTGCGGCTAAAAAATTTCTGTTTGTAGCAGATGAAAGCAGCGGAATTGTTGGAAATCTGGTGCGGATGTGGTTGCTGTTATCATTTGGGAAACAATATTTATGAATCAATCCCCAAGGTTGTAATGCATTCGTTCCTTTTGAAATATCAAACCATAATTATAAATTATATTTTTAAAGAATTAACTAAGCTTTTAAGAAAATATATACCAAATAAACAAGCATATATTCCTGTGGCAATCACCCATACGCCACCGAATAAACCAAGTCCACCGAGGAACTAATGAAAGTTAGGTTTGTGAAAAATTACTTATGCTAAAAAAGAGTAAGATACACATACTGTTTTTGATCTTTTTAAAACAAAAAAAAATAAGTATGAATTGTAAAATAATTATCAAACAGTAAAAAAATATTGCATTTATTTAGTTACCTTTGCTCTCTAAGTCTTTCTACCATATAACTTCGAGGCTTTATAGCAATGGCTGAATATCCTTTAGCGCCGAATTTAGTATTAGCATAATCAGGCTCTATAGAAAATCAATAGATTAGTATTTTCTATAACAGACTTAATTAAATTCACATTAATAATATAGAAAAATCAATTAATACCGAAAGACGAGGTGATATATGTTTCTTCGCTATAACTTGGTGGAACTCCGAAAGCATTTCCTTGCTTTCGGGATATAATTTCTTTAATAGTCCGGGAAAATCGAAAATCATAATCCTAAAACAAAAGATATTAATTGGAATAATTCCATGATAAAATGCTTAATGATTAAATGCTACTCGTTTTCTCACCGTATGAGACTTGATGATGTTTTTTTTAAAAAAAAATAATGTTAAAATTAAAATATTTTACGAACTTGAAAAGAAACAATTTAAATAAACTAACATAAATATAATAACGGTTTAATGCCGTCAAGGAGTATGTAAATTTTTTGCCATAGTTTTCTTGAAATTTCTCATAATTATCGGATTTATATCTGTATGGGCCAAATTCTTAAAAATAAATGGAAATACATATAATTAGAAATTGAACTACGTAACTAGAACACAGAAATTTTAAGAATTTACCTGGATCGTAGGCTTCAAAGCTAATATAGTTTTGTATAGTAGCATTGTAAGTGTCAATAATACCTATAAATATCACTATGGCACGAAGATCGTCAAGAGAAAAACTTTTGATATTGTCAAAACTTAGAAAGGCATTCCATTCTTCGAGCAGACTTTTTTCAGGTTGTTTGAAATATACCGAGCAATCATCTGTTTTACCACTTACTAAATAAAGAAATATATTAAATTCATTCAGACTAAATAGCAATAGTTAATTTTTTCTTGCTTACAGTATACAAACGAACAATCGATGTTAAATCCAAATTTAGCATATAAATAAATATCTATAATAATAACGATAAAAGTAATGTAGATATTAATTAAACTATTGCAAGTAATTCAGCTGATCTGTAAAATATGAACCTGGTATCGGAAGAGATTCTGCTTCAAATATGGTCTTATGCAATACTGGTCCATCATCGCGTATATCAATAATTAAGAAAGCCAAGAATGTCACGAGTAGACTTATGATTAAAAAAGCAGTAATTCCCCGACATACGACGATTGACTTTGGCTCATTATGACGGTATCGGTATTGATGATAGATTTCTTGCAAATACATCTTAATTTGAATTCCTCTAGTCTACATAATCTTTCACTTTTATACGGCGGCATTGAATTCATCATATATGTGAGACAGGTAACCATGTCATTTTGCCATACATAAACAATCCTATAAAGGAAACAATTCTTTATGGATGGCGTAGGTTTAACAGTATTGAGCGTGAGCAGGTGAATTGATACTGTCTAACACGGACGCAACATGTACCGACACACAAAAGAAACGGAACAATTGATAAAGCTTTTTTATTGGTCCAAACAAAATAAAAAAGTACATGTGCATGTACAGTACCCCAAAAAGTATCGCCTGATTCAAGATTAAAAATAAAAATTGTCAATTTATGCATTAAATACAAATAAAATTATTTAATATTTAATCGGCCCTCCATTTGACTCTAACGCTAATACCGTATTAATCCTTCGTGACATTGATGCAGTAACCCCGTTCTAATGTGGCTACATCAATTTTTTTCCCACACCACCTTTAAGTTCATCCACAGTCTTCGGAAAAATCTCATTTGTTGAATATTGTCTTTACATGTACATGTATTGTGTTCAGGTCCGGAGAATCAGCCGGCAAGTTAAAATAATCGCGATTTTATTTTTCCCGCAGTATGAATCGGTGCATTGTCTTGTTGACAAATCGCGTAACCTCCAGTTAACTCCTTAAATGATTTCAAGGTAAGTATTTTTTCGCCATTCATCACAAAAAATTAATGGTCCTTTTAATTTTCCCGCGAAACACCCAACTTCAACACTGGACTGGTTTCATCAGAGAAAATTATTTTCGTCCAATCATAAGCTGATTTATTTTTATTTTCTTCACACCATTTAATATAAGCAGACATTAGAACATGAAATAACTTAAGTCATAGACGTAACTAGATAACTACCCAGGTATAAATATGACATTAGAAGGTAGCTACCCTTGATCTGAGAAATGTTTGCACTCCTAATGAGCATGTACAGGTGTTTTTGAGATATAGGATTTCTTTGCTGCAATACATGAGTTAAGTTTGGAGTTGTGTAATATATTTGTAGTGGTTGATAAACTACAAGTGAGGTCTAAATTGTTGACTATTTCACGTAATGATGCACGTCTTCTTTCATTGGCTTCACATATAAGTAAATCCTTTTCTTGGTTGTTAAAAACTGGTGATCTTCTTGAACATGGTAAGTTTTCACTTTTCCTGTTTGTTTATATTTGTTAATAAGTACATGTAACATATCATTATGGGTTGCATCCATTTCCATATATGTTAGAATCTTCCCTTTTTCAATCTTGTTAAGCTATATATAGTGATATATTTATATTATTTTTAATCTAATAAAATTATAGTTGCTAAAGTTGTAACATATACTCTATATATATACTATTATAATAATAACATAATTTTCTTTAATTCACAAAATATTATGAAATTTAAAAATAAACAAATATAAAAACTATTCAAAATAGTAAAAATATGTATAATAGCAAAAATAGCTTGATACAAATAGATATTATTTATATTATATTATCTAGTATTTTATTATTTTTACTTTTTTATCTAGTTATTTTATTAGTTTTACCTTTTTCACCTAGTTATTTATTATTTTTATCTTTTTCACCTAGTTATTTTACTTTTTATTTTGTTAATTTACTTTTTTATTTTGTTATTTTACTTTTTTATTTTTTATTTAACTTTTTATTTTGTTATTTTACTTTTTTATTTTGTTATTTTACTTTTTTATTTTTTATTTAACTTTTTATCTTATTTAA